GCAGTGTGACATCCAAGATCCGGCTGCCTGTGCAGGTACGAGGGACAGCCTGAGGGAGGAGCCCAGCACTGGCTCCAGAACCACTTGCTGAGTGCTGGGGAGGTGTTTGGTGTCACCAGCAGGGGACAAACACTCAGTGGTGCTCTCTGAGACACTCACCTCGTGAGGACAGAGGTCAGAGGAAGGAAATAGGTCATTATTGCTGTTTATCTCTCTGAGGAAGGTTGGCCCAGATCCTGTAAAACTGAGCCAGAGGAGGACTTAGGCCTGGTTTAAACACAGAGGTTCCATGGAAGCTGGGTGCATTGGAGGACAGGGCTGCAGCAGTGGGACTGTGGAACCCTGAGGGAGCTGAGGCTTCCCAAGGGTGTGGTGGTGGCACAGGAAGGGCCTCACAGGGACAGAGCAGGTGACAGAGGGGAGGAGGGCCAGGCTGGAGTGAGTTCTGTGTTTGCACAGCACGGGAGGGGCTGCACAGGGAAATGCAGTGAGCTTTATGCAGTGAATTCTGTTATCTGAGGGGAAAAGCAGCTGGGTGAGAATGCAGGAGGTGAGGGAGTGGGTGGGCAGAGCAGGGTCTGTGCTGATGGAATTCTCTTCTCACTGCACTCAGTGTCTGGTAAAATCTTTTGGGGGCTTTGGGAGCTGCTGTAACCCAAAATCTGGGGTGTCGGTAACCCAGACCCTGTGAGATAGCTGAGCCAAGCTGTGGGGCAGAGCTTTGTGGCTGCTCTGTGACACTCCCAGCAGGCAGCTGAAGGGATGTGGAGGGGAATGGAGTTCACAGAGCAGCTGCAAACAAACTCTGTTCTCTGCCCAGCCCTCGTGGCACGTGCAGTGCCTGCTGTTCAGCCTGTGCCAGGAGGTGAACAGGGTTGGTGGGCACACCCTGCCCAAGGTGACCCTGCAGGAGCTGCTCAGGAGCTGCATGGCAGAGGTGCTGGCTGCCTATGGGAAGCTGGTGGAGCAGAAGCAGGAGAAGGTACCTGGCTGTGGGATGGGAGGGAGAAGGTGGCTGGGAATGCAGGGGCACATTCAGCTCCTGGAACAGAAAAGTTACAGCATTACAGTGCCTGTCCTGCCAGCTGGAAAGGGAACGCCCTGGAAAGGCAGACACCAGATTTCACACTCTGGTTGTGCCTTGGGCTTGGTGTTCTCAGATGTTGTCCCTTGGGCAGCGTGCCCTGTGCCAGGGAGGAGCCCCATTCCTGCCTGTCCTGTTTGCAGAGGCCAGACAGCTTCCCCCTGACCCAGAGCAGAGCTCTGCAGTTACTCTACGACCTGAGGTACCTCAGCATCATCCTGACAGCCAAGAGTGAGGACACAAAACCCAGCAGGATCAAGCAGGACTCCGGGTATGGCACATTCTGGGGCTCACATCCTCCAGCAGGGCTTTGGGGGGTCCTCGAGCAGTGCAAGCTCCGAGCTCTGACACTGCACAAACACTGAGCTCATCCTCAAACCAGAGGAGGGTTCTGTGGCCAGGGGCCAGGTGTCCATAGGATATCCCTGGACAGAGCAGTTGAGCTTCCAGCCAAGAGTCCAAGCCCTGGGAGGTACCACAGGCAGCAGTTTGGGTTGTGTAAGAGCTGGGAACCCTTGGGGCAGCTGCCCTTGTGCTGAGTAATTCCTGTTGTGCTCAGTCACCCCAGACAGGAAATCCCTGGCTGCTCCAGAGCTGGCATCACCAGGATGTCACCCCTGAACGGGAGCTCTCTGCTCTGCCTGCAGGATTGAGAAGATCATCGACTTCCTGGAGGGACACATCGATCCCTTTGACCTGGATGTCTTCACCCCACACCTGAACAGCAACCTGAACCGCCTGGTGCAGAGAACCTCGGTAGGGAGCAGGGCTGGACAGCAGGGACACTGCAGAATGCCTTCAGCAGGGCAGCTGGGCTGGCTTTGAGCTGCTCAGTGCCTCAAGATAAGCACTGGCACTTGCCTGCAAAGGGGAAGGGTGCTCAGGGCCAGCTGGAGATAAGAGGAGCTGGCTGAGCCGGCTGCACGGCCCCGCTGCTGTGGGGCTGCCTGAACTTTATCTAACAGGATTCACTGGAGCCTGTGCCGCACTAATTGGGTTAAGTGGTGCTGAAACAGGTCTGGGACTGAGCTGTGGGAATGATTAAACACCAGGGTTAAGTGGGGGGAGAGAGGCACTTCCTGTTCACACTCAGTGCTGATGGTGTGCAGTGGATTTACCACGTACTGTGGGGTCAGCTCTGCAGGAACCCCAGATCCAAGCAGCTCCTGCTGCCTTCCAGCTTCTCTTCCCCAAATCCTGGTGCCTTCCAGCTTCTCTTCCCCAAATCCTGGTGCCTTTCACCTTCTCTTCCCCAAATCCTGGTGCCTTCCAGCTTCTCTTCCCCAAATCCTGGTGCCTTCCAGCTTCTCTTCCTGAAATCCTGGCGCCTTTCACCTTCTCTTCCCCAAATCCGGGTGCCTTCCAGCTTCTCCTTCCCAAATCCTGGTGCTTTCCAGCTTCTCCTTCCCAAATCCTGGTGCCTTCCAGCTTCTCCTTCCCAAATCCTGGTGCTTTCCAGCTTCTCTTCCTGAAATCCTGGTGCCTTCCAGCTTCTCCTTCCCAAAACCTGCTGCCTTCCAGCTTTTCTTCCCCAAATCCTGGTGCCCTTCAGCTTCTCTTCCCCAAATCCTGCTGCTTTCCAGCTTCTCTTCCCCAAATCCTGCTGCTTTCCAGCTTCTCCTTCCCAAATACTGGTGCTTTCCAGCTTCTCCTTCCCAAATCCTGGTGCTTTCCAGCTTCTCCTTCCCAAATCCTGGTGCTTTCCAGCTTCTCCTTCCCAAATCCAAGCCTCTGCTGGTGCCTTGCAGGTTCTCTTTGGGCTGCTGACTGGGACAGAGAACCAGTACACGAGCAGGGGCGGCGCTCTGAGCTCGCAGGAGCTGCACAACATCCTGCCCTTAGCATCCAGCCAGATCAGGTGAGGCACCCAGCTCTTCCAGCCATCCTCCTGCCTCTGGGAAGCTGCTCTGGAATTTGCTGCTTCCCACCTTTCTTTCTTCCATCTCTTAAGGTTTGGGCTCCTGCCACTGAGCATGTCGAGCTCACGGAAGAGCAAGTCCACTGCCAGGAGCACAGAAAGAGTCCAGGTTGGTGTTTGAACTGAGCTGTAAAAACAGGAATATTTTCCCAGTGTTCATTATCCCCCTGACACTGGAGTTTATGAGCAAAGAAGAAAGTAGCCAAGCATTATTTCACCTGATTTTTATTTTCAGTAAAATGAATCATTACGGCAGCACAGCAGGGGATGGGGTGGATTTCTCCAGTTCTGTCCAAACCCCACCCAGCCTTTGCCCCTGTGGTTTTGGGGCCACTGCTCTGTGGCAGGCAAAAACCACTGCAGGGGCAGTGAGGGCTGACATGGATGAGGGCAATGCATCAAAGCTCATGACAGAGGGCTGCAGGAAAGGCTGAGGGACAGCAGCTAATGCTTGAACTCCTTTGCAGTGGGATGCTGCCCTGTAACGTGAGGAGGCCTGGCCAGGTACCCCAGCTGTGTGAGGCTGTCCTGCTGCTGCTCCCCTGGTGCTGAGCTGTAGCAGCCAATGTTTCTGTTGCTCCATTTCCCCCAGTTGAAAACATCTGCTTAGATGGAGCTCTGTGTGCTGGGTGAGAGCCAAGGAACACCTCACTGCTGTGGCAAGCAGCAATTCATGTTTCCTTTACTTATTACCAGCCCAATCTATCCCTGCTGGTCTTGGCAACTGGGACAGGTTGTTGAGTTGGTAAGAGCCAAGACAAAGAGGTCAAGGCCTGGTTTTCCCAGTGTCATTTGAGATGATGTTCAATTTCTCAGAGCCCTCAAGGGCCAGACCCAGTAGAAGGGGTGTTTAGAAGTCCAGAACTTCCCAGCAAAGGTATTCCTTACCTCTCACAGCTCAGCTGGACTAGAGCATAGCAGTGTGCAGTGGTGTCTGCCTCGTTCTGTCACTCCCCTGAGCTCTGTGCTGTGCTCAGCACACCCGTGTCCTGTGCTGGCCACACTTGCCAGCATCCCTGACAGATGCTTGCTCCTCCTTCAATGCTAAAACTCTTCTGGAGAGGTTCAAACCTGCAGTTCTCCAGGAACAGCTCCTGCAGGGGCACCAGCTGTGCTTCCGCCACGCTGTGTGAGGGTTTTGCTGAGTGTTCCTTGGGGTTTTATGAGCATTGAGTGACATCTGCCAAGTGCCTGTTGCCAGCAGCAGCGAGGTGTGTGTGTGTGTCACTCCCCCAGCAGTGCCACTGCCCTGTGCTGCTGAGGGGACAGAGGGAGCCCCGGGGCTGCTGTGACAGTCAGAGTCACTTTTGTGTCCCCCAAGGGCCCGGCTGCAGCTGCTGTGCTGCCCAGGGAGGACGAGGCCCGGCCGGGCTCGCTGTTCCGGCAGCTCCTCACCGACGACGAGGACGCGGCGGCCCCGTCCCTCTTCAAGCTGGGCTGGCTCTCGGGCATGACCAAGTGAGGCAGCAGCAATAAAACTGCTCTGGCTGTTTGTCTCCACTGAGATGTGTCTGTCTGTCTGTCTGTCCCCTCGGTGACACCTCCGGGATTGTCAGGATTCGCATCCTCAGAGCAGGGCGTGGCACGGGAAGCAGGCACAGCTTGGGTTGTCCTTGTCCCCTGGCTGCTGCAGCAGAGGTGGAGCTGCTCTTTCACCTCCTATCCTCACATTGTTACAGTCAAATTAAAGGGGAAAAAAAGCCAAAACAACCTACGCGCTAACAGAAAACAAAACATTTCACAGCTGGGAAGGGGTGCTGGAGCAGGGTGAGAGGCCTGTGTCCTCCAGGCACCACCTCCCTGCTCTGAGAGGCCCCTGCAGCACCTGCCCGACCTGTCCTGCTCTGATTTCACATTTCCCTGCCAGTCCTGCAGCACTGAGGCTCGTGAGAGAAGCCTCATCACCCTGAGCTGGGTGGGAGCTCACAGGCCTAAGCACCTGCACTCGCTGCTCCTATTCTCACTAACTCTAAATGCTCAAAAAATTATGTTGCCAAATCATTTTTTAACTAGTTTATTGAAATTAAAAAAAGACTTATAAAACTGAAGAGGAACGCTTAAGAGAACTTTACAGAAAGCAACAACTTGCTAACAAACAGATTAGGCAGTCGATTGGAATTGGACAGTTTGCAATCCTATAACACACATGTGGACTCCTCAGTCTCCTCTTGCCACGTACTTTAGAACCACCCCAAAAAGAATCCTATAAAAATTGCTTCAAAGCCCCTTTTGCATTGCAATAGTGCAGCAAACCACAAGTAAACAATCTCCTGTTAACCTGTTATTTCAAATATAGACTGAAAAGGCAACAGGCAATTTTGTGCAATTCCATTTTAACAAACTTTGAAGTTGAAATATCAAATCTACACAGTGCTGTCCCTTCACAGAAGGCAGGGAGCTGCTGGGTCATCATGTAGGGAGGCGTCCCCGGCTCTGTAGGCTGTGGAAGTGGGCTTCCTTCAGGATCTGGTTGATGTGGAAGTAAGGACCTTGGCTTAGTGCAGACTGCTCGTGGAAGGGCTGGGAGGAGACAGGGCTGGATCCTGCAATCCTGGGGTTGAGGCTGGACTCTGCTCTGTCGGGGCTGTTGATGCTGCTGCTGCTACAGCTGCTGCTGCTGCTGCTGCTCCCGCTGTCACTGCTGGAGGACTGGGACACACAGAGGGTGAACAGCAACATCAGACACTTCCTCCTCACCCCACAGAAGCAAGCCTTTAGAATAAACCCCTCCCTTGCACACTTCCAGCCCGATGGAGTGATTAAATCCACCTTGGCACGGAGAGGTTGTTGTTGCCCATAGCAGTGTCACAGAGCTGAAGGGACAAGCCTTCAGCTGGGGTGCAGTGACCTCCGGGGTGTTGGATCTCAATCCTCCCCAGTTAAACCCTCACTCTGCCCCCAAGCCCACGCTTGCACTAGTGAAGTTTGCTGGGGTGATCCGAGAATTGGAAAATAAAGAACATTCCCAGGAGCTGCAGTGCCAGTGCAGGCAGGGCAGGGTTGGCACTAGAGGTTTGAGGGGAGCACCATGCAAAGCTCTTTCCTACAAGGCAACCCCAAAGTGAGATCTGAAGCATCCAAAGCAAGAGCTGTGAGAAACAAATGCACACAAGACCCACTTGAAGTCTTTGAACACCCTACCATCGATACTCTCCTCCCAGTTAAGCACTCCATGGCACAGTTAACTGGAAGTGTTCCACAGCAATTCCACACCAATTTACTCAACATGACAGTGAAAGAGCAACAGGCACTGAGGAATTGCTCATGCAGGAAAAAGAACTCAGCATTTGACTGGGGTAAGAGGCCAGGGCTCATTTGCCAGCATTTAGGACAACCACATTTCATGGGCATGGCTGGAAGAGCATTTGCCATCATCATAAGGGATTCAAAGACATAAAACACCACTTAAGGGCTGATAAGGAAAGGTTCCATTAGTTCCAGTTTTAGTCTGTGTGATCTGCTGGTCAGGACCTGCAAATATCTGGGTGAGTCAATCAGCAAGTGGCTACTCTGCCACCCCATAAATGATTCATAAAAGCAGACAGAGTAAGTGACAGCAGCTAAAAAAATCGATATTTTTGTAAGGATTAAGCCACACAAGTCACAGCTTTGTGGCCACATCAGAAGAGGACAAATTTCACTAAATCCTCAGGGATTTACCACTCAGCACCACTTCCAGAAGGGCTTCACCTGGAGTAAATCAGGAATGGTGCAAGCTGCACCCAGCACTGTGTGCGTAAATCAGGAATGGTGCAAACTGCACCCAGCACTGTGTGCGTAAATCAGGAATGGTGCAAACTGCACCCAGCACTGTGTGTGTAAATCAGGAATGGTGCAAACTGCACCCAGCACTGTGTGTGTAAATCAGGAATGGTGCAAACTGCACCCAGCAGCATGTCTGGAGTAAATCACACAGCCAGCAGCGTGTGCAGTGCCCAGGGAGGCACTGTGGATGTTTGGGTAGAACACAACCCTCCCCCCGGCCCTGATCCACCATCGACCCTGACCATCCAACCCTGACAAATTCCTTTGTTTTGCTAAGCACCAAAAACGCTTCAGCTCTGTGGGAGCACAGCAAGCCAAGCCAAGGGCCCCGGGCTGCAGAGGGGAGAGAAACACAGCGGGGTCATTGCCCAGGGAGCAGAGCTGGAACCACGGGAGCCAGCAGCCCCTCTGCCCACAGCAGAGAGGGAGAGAGCCCGGCAGCACAGGGAGGAGCTGGGGTGTGCTGGGCTGTCGCAGAGCAGCACAAAGAGTCACACGCGATGCCGAGGGGTCCCGGCAGCCTCGGAGAGAAACCCACCGCACAGGACACTTTGTTTCCTTTTAGTCTGCGCTCCTTAGTGGGCTTCGTTACAGCCACCTTCTGCAAATCAAGGTAAAAATCCAAATGAGAACCGGGCCTGGCTCGCTGCTCACGTTTCACATCTCTACAAACATTTTCCAGCTGTTAGCGGTGAGTGTTCTGTGCATCTCAGAGCTGGCAGCGTGTCCTGGGACGTGCTTCTGACACCTCAGGCTGGTGACAGGGGGGGTTGGTCACACCCTCTTTATTTCCAGTTCTCTAAGGCAAAGGTTCACTAGCACTGGCACCCCTCCATCACTGCCCACGTCACACGGAGCACCTACCATGTCCCCAGGCTGTGGTGCACACTCTGAAACGCATTTGGACTACAATCAGACAAGAAAAGAATCCTTAAAGTCATCAAGTCAGCAAGACAGGCATCAACAAAGCTTTACAGGGGCAAAGGAAAGCAGCCCAGTGGTATTTATGAATACTTCAGCTATCAAAAGCAGCCCACTGATATTTATGAATACTTCAGTTATCATAAGGGCATCTTCAAGGTTTACTGGGCTCATTAACCCTTAACATCACACTTCAAGTTTTAAAACAAACAAATGTCCTGTTAAATGTGCAGATCTGGGACAATCCCTCGGGACAGGAACTGCAGAAGGAGCCACTCGACCCCTGCTGCTCTCAATGCCTTCAAGAGGAGTTTAACAGAGCCACGATCTGGTTTTAGCCAGAACTGAAGAGCAGCCCTTCCCTGGACAGTGGGGGACAAGAACTTTGATTTGATCTGTGCCAAGAACCCGGCAGTGTTTCACTCCTGCCCTGAACAAAGAGGAACTGTGAGAAACTGGGGTTTGCAGAAGTTGTTCAGGAAGGAAAGGGTCAGCCAGAACACTCAGACTCGCTTCCTTCCCTGGGAAAACCAGAGCAAAGGGTTTGCACTGGGGATTGCCCAGACTGCAGAGCTCAGCTGGGAACCTCAGCATTGCCCTTGGAGGATCCACTGCAACCCCAGCACTGGAGGATCCACTGCAACCCCAGCACTGCCCTTGGAGGATCCACTGCAACCCCAGCACTGGAGGATCCACTGCAACCTCAGCATTGGAGGATCCACTGCAACCTCAGCACTGGAGGATCCACTGCAACCTCAGCATTGGAGGATCCACTGCAACCCCAGCACTGGAGGATTCACTGCAACCCCAGCATTGCCCTTGGAGGATCCACTGCAACCTCAGCATTGGAGGATCCACTGCAACCCCAGCACTGGAGGATCCACTGCAACCCCAGCACTGGAGGATCCACTGCAACCCCAGCATTGGAGGATCCACTGCAACCTCAGCATTGGAGGATTCACTGCAACCTCAGCATTGGAGGATCCACTGCAACCTCAGCATTGGAGGATCCACTGCAACCTCTCCTGGCCTGATCTGGGGACAAACAATGGATTTCTAACCAAACACAGGGCAAACAACACAGCTGAGCTCCTGGAAAAGGGAGGACAGGCTGAACAGGAAGGGAAATTCCATGGCAAAGGCTCTGCCTTGCTAATGTTTAACCCTGGCTGCAGCTGCAGCCCTGTGGCTGTGCCTGGCCAAGGACTGAGCCCAGGACAGAGGTTTCTGTCACCTGTGAGTGGCCTCTCCAGAGCACCAGGAATGGCACATCCTTACAGCAAGTGCCCAAAAAGCAGCGCTGGTGGAGACTGAAGAGAATCTGTTTGCATCCTGGGGAAGCTGGAAGTGCTGCCTGTCCTGGGTGAAAGGACAATGCAGAGGCAGAAAACAGCAAATCCTCTGGAACTGGATGTGATGTGGATGGGCAAATCAGGGACTGAGGGGTAACATCACAGAACTGCCCAGGTCTGAACTGCCACTGAGGAAAAACCTCCCTTCACCTCATTCTCCAGAGCAAAACGTGCAAGACAAAAATAATGGGAAGAGATCCTGGCAAAAAACACTGCCTGACCGCCATCAGGCTTAAAGTTAAAGCACTGCCTGACTGCCCATCCTGAGGCTGTGCTCTCAAAGAGGCCTCACTCTGCAAGAGAGAACAGTCAGTTTGAACCAAAACAGCCCACAGGAATCAGGACTTTGGGTAATGTTTCACAAAAGGCAGGTGTGCAATGCCCTGTGATGAAAAGCAACTCTCCTGTGCTCTTGGAAGTCCCAGATTGCTCCCACTCCCCTTTTCCAGGCAACATCCCAAATCCAGGGGGATTTTAACCAGCTAGAGGTGTATTTGCACACAGCAAACTAAATGCAAGTGTTGCAAAGTGGCTGAGACTTTCCAAGCAGCACCAATGAGCACAAGGATTTCTCCCCTTGGCACAGGAAGTCCTTAACCAAATGTTGGAATAACCCAGATTTAATCTCGTGGCTTGAATTTCTGGGCATGCTCAGCTGAGGGATCTGACAAGAAAAACAAGCCAAAAAAAAAAAACCAAAAAGCAAAAAAAGATCCATTCATCAGGAGAAAACATTGGGAAATCTGTTCAGTGCTGTTTGAGAAGCTGTGCCCACATTCCTCAGCAGGGAGAGCTCCTCCCTGCCTCACACCAGGGTTCAATGAGTTAAAACCAGGCTTTACCAGGCAAGTGCATGCAAGAAGCAGGGTCTGTGTTAGGCTGAGCTGCTCCAGGGCTGCTGTCACCCCTGGTGTGTGGCACTGCCAGCCCTGCCCCATCACCAGGTGCTCACACTGCAAGCAAAGGTGCTGCTTCTGGCACTCACCATTTCCTGACATCCTTAATTTCATTAGTGCCACTGCAATCCCTGGTGCCACACTAAATCCGTGCCAAAGCTGCTTTGGCTTTCCCTGCCCTACACACACCGAGGGCTCTGACCTGTGGGACAAGTGATGCAGGGTCAGCTGGCACAAAGCAGACTGCTGCTCCCAAAAAACCCCAAAATGCAGAGTTTCCCTCCTGAAAACACAGCAGCTTCCATCCCTTTGTGATGGAGAGCAGCTCTTAGGGCATTTCCAGCATTCCTGTCACTTAATCTACTTGTCCAGGTTAATAGAGAGTTTCCCTCACAACAGGAATGTAGAAATATCCATTTCCAGATTGTAAAAGAGCTCCAAGTTACACACCAACTAAATATTTTCTGCAAAGTACAACTAAAAGTTGAATAATTGAGCTAATTCTCTCACAACAGGAATGTAGAAATATATATCTGAAATCATTTCCAGATTGTAAAAGAGCTCCAAGTTACACAGCAACTAAATGTTTTCTGTTTTTCAATTAACAGTTGAATAATTGATGTAATTCCATAATAATTCAGACTGTAATTGCTCATTACAATCCACCTTCAAAGTGAGGCGGCTCTGAAAAACTGAGGATGTTTCCAAAACGTTCAAAGAAATTAATTTCATTAACTTCAGAGTGCTCTGCACCCTTTTTCCATGAATGTTTTACAACACAAGGACATGGCTCACAGTGAATTTTCAGGTGAATCACCCAGGTGACATCTGGCAGCAGTTGGGAAATCAGCAATTTATTTTTTTTAAGACAAGAAATCTCATATTACACTGAGAAAACACCTGTCTGGTGAGGGGTAAGAACAAGACAGTTTATCCCACGTCCAGCAAAAAAAAAAAAAGGAAAATATGAGAAAAAAACCAATGAGGTTTGAGTTTGTCTTGCTTAAACTGAGCAGCTCTACCAGAGCATTTTTTGCACATCAGATAAGGCCTGCCCGGAATGTGTTTTGTCTTTCTCCCACAAATAATCACCTCCCTGTGAGCAAAGGCAAAGCTGATGGTCAGGCACAGTGAGCACAGGGACACATCCCCCCAGCTCTGGGCACAGCTCAGCCCAAACCAAACCAAACAAATGGAAATTCTTTCCTTTCCCTGGGTGCTGCAAGGCAGGATTTGAAATTTCCTCCCAGAAATATTCAGGCCAGGCATAACCAGGCTCACTGGGAATGCTGATTTCCAAGCTGATTTCAATCTCTGATGTCACCAAGCCAAAGCTCACGCCCTCAAGCACAAAGCTATGAAATAAAAATGAAAATAAATGCACAGATATTGAAATGCAGCCTGGCTTTGGCTGGGAAGGCTCTCACCTCAGTGTCCCACGAGTCCTGCAGGACAGAGCTCCTGGTGCTACGTTTGCTCTGGGGAACGTGACCATCCTCTTCAGGGCCATTCCTCCTCCTCTTCCTGCAGGGAGAGGAAATGATCATGGAAAGAAAGCTCACTGAAAGCTCAAGAAACAGCTCATTAATCCATGTCCTCTGAAGGCACCCAAAAATGCAGGGATAAATGAATGCACGGTGTCCCCAGCCCCCTGAGGTGCTGTGGGCTCCCACATTCCCCAGAGAAAAGGATCCTGCTCCTCACAAGATGTTTCCTATCGGTTTAAGGGACCTGGATTAAAACCATCCTTCAGAATAAACTCATTTAACAACTGCCAGCCTTGCAGATGTAGAAATAATCCCTGGGCTCAGAGTGACACCTGGCAGGCTGGGGACAGCCCTGGGACGAGTGGCACTGAGCACATCTCCAATGATTCACCTGCTCTCACCGCCCCACAAGGACTCTTCAGCCTCTCCCCTCTGTTTGGAGTCACATTCCAAAGCAATCACATCTCCCAGGTGGAAATGAGGTTTTGTCAGGAAACATCTTGTGCAAAACAAACTCTTCCCTGTCTCTGATGCATTTCCCACCCTCTCATGGCACCTTGCACTGTCTGGCACGGTGGGTGCAGGCTTTAACCTCATTTTTATCCAGATCTTTGCAGGCATCGAGGCAAAGCAGAGCTGGGAGGAGGACAGTGCTGATATTCCCAGATTGCAGGAGATAAAGGGAACACCTCAACGACCAGGCTGGACAGGAGCTGGGACAAGCTGGGGCAGTGGGAGGTGGCACTGAAGGTCACTCCCAGCCCACGATTGGTGATTCTGTGCCACCAACACAGCAGCAGCTGCTCCCCAGCAGCCTCCCAGAATTCCCACACAAACATCAAACGATTCCTCCCCACCCCACAAACACGACGACGAGTCAGCCAGGATCCAAAAAAACACGGGATGGAGCCGTTTTGGTGTGCCTAAAATTAACCCGTGCTCGGATGAGTCAAAACACACTCGAGGGAGGCATTCAAAGGTATTTATAACCGGCTCCTCTCTGTGCAGCAGGCTCTGGCCCACGCCTACAGCCCAGAGCTGCCTCGCTGCTCCCCATCCCTGAATGGCAGGCACCGAACGCTGTCCGTCTGTCCGGGATCGCTCTCTGGGCAAGGGATTTTCCTCTGGAGCCTCTGGCTCCTTCTTCCCCAACCCCTGCAGTGACCTCGGGGCTTGGGGCACCCCGGGTGTTTGTGCCCATGGCAGGGGGAGCACGGGATGGGCTTTAGGGTCTCTTCCACCCCATTCCCCAACTCCACAATCCCCCACGATCCCCCAGCTTCTCCCCCACATCCCTCATCTTCCTCCCCACATCCCGTGGTAGGGGGAACACGGCCCGGGCTTTAGGGTCCCTTCCACCCCATTCTCCGACCCCACGATCCCCCACAACAAATTCCCACCTGCCCCACGATCCCTCGTGGGGGATTTCTCCCCCACATCCCATGGCAGGGGTGGGATAGGATGGGCTTTGGAGTCCTTTTCACCCCATTCCTTGACTCACGATCCCCCCTCAGCCTCTCAGCTCCCACCTGCCCCACGATCCCTCAGCTTCTCCCTCACATCCCATAGCAGGGGCGGCACAGGACGGGCTTTAAGGTTTTCCACCCCATTCTCCGACCCCACGATCCCCGTCAGCCCCTCAGCGCCCACCCACCCCACGATCCCTCGGCTTCTCCCCCGCATGCCCTCACCCTCCGGAGCGCCCCCAGCCTCCCCGACCCCCGCAGCCCCACTGAACCCTCCGAGCGCTCGGTGTCCGCTCTCCCCTTCCCCTCAGCGCGGCCGCTCCTTCCCCCGCTCCCTCAGGCCTCGCCGCCCTCACGCACCTCTGTCTCGCTCCCCGCTCGCTCGGCAGCGGCTGCCGGCAGCTCATGGCGGGCGGGAGCGCGGCGGGGCGGGCGGAGGGGCCGCGCTGAGCGGGACAGGCCGCGCCGAGGGGCGGAGGCCGCGCTGAGGGGCGGCAGCGCGGCCCTGCCCGGCCCCGAGCGCCGCTTCCGCCGCGTCCGCCGCTTCCGCCGCCTCGCCCCCGTGACGTCACGGCGTGCGCCGGGGCGGGGGGCCGGGACATTGTGACGTCACAGCGCCGCCGCGCGGGCGGGCTTTGTGACGTCAGCGGGGCGGTTCCGGTGCCGGTGATGGCGGCGGGGACGGAGCTGTGCCCGCACTGCGGGCGGCCCTTCAAGCGGCTCCGCGCGCACCTCCCGCACTGCAAGGCAGCACCGGCAGCGAGCCCCGGGCCGGGCCCCGGCAGCACCGCGAGGCCCGTCCCGAGCAGTGCCCGAGATGCCCGCCCGAGCCCCGCCAGCGCACCGGGATCGAACCCCCAGCACTCCGCCGCCAGCGGCAGCGCCCCGGAGCCGAGCCCAGCGCCGCGTCCCCGCCCGGCCCCCGGTACCGGCCCCGCCTGCCCCGATGCCGACCCCGCCGCACCCGGTTCCGGCCCCGGCGCGGTGCAGGACGTGGCCCGCAGCCTGGACCTGCACCCCGAGGAGGTGGAGGATGTGCCCCAGAGGCTGCGGGAGGGGGTGAAGGTGGTGATCGAGAAGCACCGAGCCAGGGTGGTCCGGGAGAAGGAGCCGCGGAGCCGCGGGGAACGCACGGAGCCCGGCCCCGCTCCCCGCAAATCTGCCCCGAAATCCCGGAGCAAGGAGGCGCCGAGCCAGGGAACCGCGGGGAGCGGGAGCTCCAAGGGAGGGAAAAGCGGCTTAAAGGCGACAAAGACACCGCGAGAGCCCGCTGAGAGCGGCGACAGCCCCGGTGACCTCGTCCAGAAGAAGGGAAGAGACAAACCCCGAGCAGGAGCGGAGCGGGTGCAGATGGAAACTGGGGAGCGATCTGAACCCCCCGTGTGTGCTCTGCACCCCCGGAGCCTCCGGCTGGCACCGGCGGAGCCCATCGGAGCTCACGGCTGGGGGACAGCCGGGAATGAGCTGGGGCTGCCAGGGGCGGCAGTGCCCGAGCCCACCGTGAGCACAGCCCCGGGGCTGGCATTGCAAACCCAGCCCATCCTGGGGCTGGCTCTGCCCCTTACACCCCAAACCCAGCCCGGCCCGAGGCTGGCTTTGCCCCACACACCCCAAATCCAGCCCACCGTGAGCCCAGGGCTGGCTCTGCCCTGCACACCCCAAATCCAGCCCAACCTGAGCCCAGCTCTGCCCCTCACACCCCAAACCCAGCCCGGCCCGAGGCTGGCTTTGCCCCACACACCCCAAATCCAGCCCACCGTGAGCCCAGGGTTGGCTCTGCCCTGCACACCCCAAATCCAGCCCAACCTGAGCCCAGCTCTGCCCCTCACACCCCAAACCCAGCCCCTCTGCTCCGCCCGGGGCTTGGAGTGGTTTCCAGAATTGTATCCCGAGTCAGGAGGGCTGAGGATGTTTCCAGGGAGTCGATTCCACGAGGATGTGAGGATCACGGTGGAGACAGCCAGGGGTGGATTGGCTCAGGGGCAGCAAGGTAATGAAAACCTCCCTGCTGGGATGTGCTGGAATGGCAGAGGGAATGGGAGAGGAGGGGCAGGGAACAGGAGAGGAAGAGGAGGGATTGGGAAAAGAGGGGTAGGGAATGGGAAAGGAGGGGTAGGGAATGGGAAAAGAGGGGTAGGGAATGGGAAAGGAGGGGTAGGGAATGCTGGGCTTGCCCAGGGAAGGATCCAGGAGAATCCAAGGAGCTTTACCTGGGCCTCCTCCAGCCTGCAACACCAATGGGTGATGTTTTTATGGAGTCTTGGGCTGATGGAGCCCAAACTCTGTGGCAGGAGTGATTCCCTCTCCTTTTCCCAGCCCAAAAGGCACCTCCCATGCCATCCCAGCAGAGAGCCCTCGTGGCTGTGACCAGGCTGTGTCACCCTGCAGGTCCCCTCGCCGACAGGCCCCTGATGGAGGTGAGGCTGGGCGAGCTGCACACCTGGATCAGCACCTGCAGCTTCTCTGCCCAGGGGCTGCTGGGAGCAGTGCAGAGAGGTGAGAACTCCTGGCTTTTGGGGCACATCCATCCCACTTCCCTGGTTTACTTTGTTCAAATAGCCAGCCTGGATCTTTACAAAGCACAAGTCATGGGGTGATGGAAGGGACCAGAAGGATGATCCAGTGCCATCCCCTGCCCTCCACTGTCCCAGGTGGCTCCAAACCCCATCCAGCCTGGCCTGGGGCACTGCCAGGGATCCAGGGGCAGCCACAGCTCCTCTGGGCACCCTGTGCCAGCGCCTCACCCCTCACAAGGAACAGTTCCTTCCCATCCATCATCCCACCAATCCCTGCCCTCTGGCACTGGGAATAAACAAACAAACCTCCCCAACACTTTGGCTGTGTAAAGTCACAGGGAAGCAGTGAATTCCCAAGGGCAGCCCATGATTTACCCCTCTCCTTTCTCTCCCAACAGCCTGGGGCAGTTACTGTGCCAAGTACATCCACGTGAAGCAGGGGGGACCTGCTGGAATCTCCATGCTCCTGGCTGGCTACTGCCTACTCAGCTATGGCTGGAACTATCAGCACTTCAGTAAGGCTTCCTGTTTCAGGAATTCTTCCTCTTGCAGCACTTGGAAAGTCTGTTTAGCACTCCTGTTAATTAAAGCTCTGGATCAGCTATGGCTGGAACTATCAGCACTTCAGTAAGATTTCCTATTTCAGGAATTCTTCCTTTTGCAACACTTGGAAACACTGTTTAGCATCCCTGTTAATTAAAGCTCTGAAATGAAATTGTTTAAACACTCCCCATTTAATCCCAGAGCTCAGAGAGCAGGATTCTCTAGGTGGGCAGAGGAATTTGCTTAATAAAAGTGCTGATAGCAGCTGCTGACTCACAGCTTCTCCCTGGAGAAGAACCAGGATTGTCAGGAGCACTTGGAAAAGCCCACACGGGGCAGAGGGAGGAGACGTTCCACCAATCCTGACAGATTACAAGGAATTTGGGGGTGTTTGGGTGGTTCCAAACACAGAAACAGAAGCTGCACTTGGACTGGAGCCCCCAAACAGATCCCTGTGTTGACCCTAGGATTTTTTCCTCTCTGTTCTTCCAGAGCAGCACCGCTGGAGAAAATACCACTGAAGGAGCTGGAGCGGCAGCCAGGGAACAGCCCCAGCTTTGGGGAGGCAGCAGAGCAGCCAGGAGCAGCAGCCCAGCAGGAATTCCCAGCTGCAGGGGCCTGGCTGGGGCTGCAGCTGAGGAGGAGCTGCTTTCAGGTCGGCTGGTGTGGCACAGAGGTGACAGGGACAGCCTGTGCTCACCCCTCCGTGGTCAGGCAGCTTTAATAGTGAAGTGAGAAAGCTTTAAAGGGATCTGTGGGGGCAGGAGAGCTCCTGGAGCCTGCAGAGTCCCTGATCCCTTGTTTGGGACAGGGGACAGCACCTTGTCCTGAGCTGTCATTAGAGATTATGTGACAATTCTGCTGTAGCTGAGTGGATTTCAACCCCAAGAACCATTCCCTTTAAATTCAGAGCTGTGCCTGGCCCTGCCCAGTTTGTACTCACCCAGTTTGTACTGGTGGGACTGGCCAGGACCTGTGTGAAGGCACTGAAGCAGCAGCTCAGACCACAACACCCCAATTCTGGGATAGAAAACTCCATGGGATGAGCTGCTGTGCCCAAAGGGCAAACCAGGACAGTCAGCAGTGCTAGTTGGAGCCTGCCATCCCCAGACATGTCTGGGAAAGGGTTGCTCATGTTCCAGGCATGAAGAGCAAAAAAAAAAAAAAAAAGAGCCAAGAATTAAAAGTCTGAGCTCTTTATTCTGCAGAGTGCAGTAGTGCTGTGACCGAGGTGCTGCACCAAAAACTCTCTCACCAGCAATAAAAACCTGCGTGGATTTTCCTTTCCTGCTTGGGTTGTGATCTCAGACGTGGTGCTTTGTGCCCCTTTCCCAAGGGATGAGCACATCCCCACCCTCCCTGTGCCCAGGATCCTGGTCCCAGCCAGGCCTGCACCCTTCACACCTTGGCAGTGCTGCTGCTGCCCTCAGCCAGCTGTGCCAGGGGAGCAGCCAGCTGTGCCAGGCCCCGATTGCCATTGCATGCAGTGATTTCTGTGCTGTGAGCTGTGCTGGGCAGACCCTGCTGGCTGTCCCAGTGCTGTGTCCATGCTGTGTGTCCTCCTCATCCTCCTCCTCCTCTCCTGAGCTCTGTGGAGCACTGCAGTCACTTTCCCAGCAGCATTTCCAGCTGAGTCCTCCTGCTCTGGCTGGCACAGGGTCTGGCTGATCCTCTCTGGGGGCACAGGGAAGGGGTTTGTGCTGGATCAGCCCCTGCCACATCCCCATGTGTTCATTTCCACCCCATTTCCAAAGGAATGGGATCGTGGAACAGCCCCCTGAGAGTTCCAATTACACCAAACCTCTGGGGATTTGTTGTTCCCAGTGGTTATTACCTCTGAAATCCCTTCCCCTGCTGGTTCCCACCCCAGCTCCAAACACCACAAGGAAAACACACATTTCCAGTCCAAGAGGCTGTTTGGGAGCACTCTGAGCATCCCCACAGCACCTCCTGTCCCCATCCTCCCCCCAAGGTGACACCACTGCTCCCAGCCGTCCCATTGCCCACGTTCTCTCACCTTGGAGCAGGTGCCTCCCTCCAGCAGGCTCTGGGGGCTCGGGGGGCAGCCCCTGGTGTCCCACAGCTGCCGGGTGCCACGTGCAGGTGGCTCCTTGGCTGGCACGTGCTCACCTCCCCTGTCCTCTGCGGCAGCCAGGTCCCTCTGCACCAGCCTACACGGGCATCCAGCTCCCTGGGGAAAGGGGGCAGGGGGGGCAGTTGGCACCTGCTGCCCCACAGGAGCTGGGGGGCACCTGGGGCATCACCCCCACGGGCACAGGGACAGCAGCTTCACCTTGGATGGGTCTGTGCTGCTCGGCATCAGCCCGGCCTTGAGGCTGGAGGGGACACAGAGGACAGGCAGTTACTGCTTGGGGTGTCCCCAAACCCCCCTGAGGCTCCCCCAGCCCCTCAGGGCTGTCCCCAAACCCACTCGAGGCTCCCCCAGCCCCTCAGGGCTGTTCCCAAACCCCCCTGAGGCCCCCCCACCCCTGTCCCTGCTGTCAGCAGCACAGCCCAGGTGTGGGGTTTGGTTAATTCAGCCGCTTTGTGTCCTTGTCCCTGGCCCTGCAAGGGCCACAGCCACCTCAGAGAGGGGATTTTACCCACCCCAAACCCCACTCCAAGCCCCCCCAGTACGTACTGCACGAATTTGCACTTGGGTCCCTCGGGGCAGAAGCCCACCAGGTAGTTGGCACACATCACCCTCCTCGTGTGCTTGTACTTGCACAGGGGACCTGCCGGGCACAGAGGACGCTCACAGGGACACGAAATTGTGAGAGCTCTGCTTTCCCTGCAGTCCTGAGCCCAAATCCACCCCCTCGGGTCGTGGGCACCATCCCCATCGGGCACCCCTGCCCACCCTGCCCTGCAGCCATGATATTTTCTGAAAAATCCTTTTCTTGGGATTTTTCCTCCTGAGAAGCTGAAAGGCCTCAGGAATAAAATGTAAACAGTGATTATCTGCTGCTGTGGGATGCAACAGGTGCATCTGTGATTGGGCTCATGTGGTTGTTTCTAATTAATGGCCAATCACAGTCAGCCGGCTTGGACAGAGAGTCTGAGCCACAAACCTTTGTTATCATTCTTTCTTTTTCTATTCTTAGCTGGCCTTCTGATGAAATCCTTTCTTCTGTTCCTTTAGTATAGTCTTAATGTAATATATATAATAAAATAATACCATATACATAATAAAATAATAAATCAAGCCTTCTGAAACATGGAGTCAGATCCTCATCTCTTCCCTCAACCTGAGACCCCTTTGAACACCCTCACGCTGCCCCATCCCCTCTGGGCACCCCCTGCCCATCCTCAGCTCACCGTGCCAGCAGAAGCCTCGGTCGTACCAGGGACAGCGCCCGGTGCTGGCGGTGGCACCGGCGTGCAGGAAGGGACAGTCCTCGTTGCTGCACTCCCCTGTGGGGACAAGGCATGGAACACTCGGGACAATGCACAGGGAATGAATCGCGCCAGGATGGGCTGGATCAGAGGAATTGGGGTGCCCTGGGACAGCCCGGTTCGGCTGGGATGGGGGGACAGCGACCCTGGCTGTGTGACAGTGGCACTTCTCCCCGCAGGCAGGAGGTGGCATCAGCCGCTCGCTGCAGGCCAGCCCCGAGGGATGGGACAGGGGTGGGAAGGGGTTCCCTGGGATGCCCAGCCCCGCACCTACCGAACCTGGAGTAGAAATAGCACTCGGGCACCCGGCTGGCATCGTAGCCGTGCAGGAAATCGCAGCCATCGCCCCTCTTGCAGAGCCCTCGCAGCCAATGCTTGCACACGGTGGGCTTGGTCCTGCCGGGCCGGGGGTGGCCCTGGACAGCTGGGACAGCCCTGTCACTGCCAGCGGGTCCCCAATGTCCCCGCTCACCTGGGACAGCCCTGTCACTGCCAGCGGGTCCCCAGTGCCCAGCCCTGGCACTGCCAGCCTGTCCCCAGTGCCCCAGCACACCTGGGACAGCCCTGGCACTGCCAGCCTGTCCCCAGTGCCCAGCCCTGCCTTACCCACAGCCCCAAGAGTGGTCCTGCTCACCTGGGACAGCCCTGGCACTGCCAGCCTGTCCGCAGCAATGCCCAGAGCCAGGACAAAAACCAGCCAGGTTTTGCAGGAGGACAGCAAGAGGAGAACCCCAAAAGCTCCCACAGCCCCAGCACCCCCCAAAAACGCCCCAGCCCTGTCCCCAGCTTACTGTCCACCCCCGGGAAGGGCAGGGGCTGAGCTCTGAGCTGCTCCACATCGGCCTCCGAGTCCAAGCTGATTCTCTCCAGGCCAGCCACCAGCTCCTGCATCATCCCTGCTGCGGGGAGAGCCCAGCAGGGGAAGGGGAAGAGAAAAGGGAAGAGGAAAGGGCACTCCCCAGGGGAAACACAGCTCTCCAAAGGGAGCTCCACGCTCTGCAGGTCCCTGCAGCCTCCCTGGGCCCCAGGAAAACCTTCCTCTTCCTCCTCCTCCTCCCCAGGCAGAGCAGAACCAGCCCCAGCAGCCCTGCAGTGCTGCATTTACAGGGGGGAGCTGCCCACATCTGATCCCAATTTGCAGCCCTGATTGCTGCTGCCCCAGCTGGGGAGCTCAGCCCCCTCCCCTCTCAGCCTCCCCACTCCCACATCTGCTTCTCCTCCAGGAAAGGGGCTGGGTTAACCCCTCACTTCGAGGCCTTGCACAGAGACAAACACGGCCCAGAGTGCTGGGATGGAGCGTTCCAGCAGCACGGGGTGGGTGCTGGGTGTGCTTGGGGTGCTCTGGGCACAGCAGCGCCAGCCCCTGCCCTGCTCTCCAGTGCCTGGCATGACAGAGCCACAGCCCTGGGCTCCTGGAAGGGGCCACACCTTTGCATCCCAACAAATCATGGAGTGGTTTCTTGTGGAATGCTCCTCAGAGCCCTCCTTGCTCCATCCACAGGCAGGGACCCAGCAGCCCCTTCCATCCCTGAGCGCACTTGAACCCCAAGAACCATTCCCTTTAAATTCCCTTAAATCCCTGTGCTCACCCCTCCGTGGTCAGGCAGCTTTAATAGTGAAATGAGAAAGCTTTAAAGGGATCTGTGGGGGCAGGAGAGCTCCTGGAGCCTGCAGAGTCCCTGATCCCTTGTTTGGGACAGAGGACAACACCTTGTCCTGAGCTGTCATTAGAGATTGTGACAATTCTGCTGTAGCTGAGTGGATTTCAACCCCAAGAACCATTCCCTTTAAATTCAGAGCTGTGCCTGGCCCTGCCCAGTTTGTACTGGTGGGACTGGCCAGAACCTGTGTGAAGGCACTGGAGCAGCAGCTCAGACCACAACACCCCATGCTGAGATAGAAAACTCCATGGGATGAGCTGCTGTGCCCAAAGGGCAAAAACCCTTCGCCATGAAAGCTATGGGGCTTTCACAGGTGCCAGGCTCCGGTGGCACATTCTGGGCACGATCAGGGCTCTGTGGGTTTGCTGGAGCCCACCTGGAGCAGGATTTATCCCTGGATTTATCCCAAAGCTCCATCCCAAAGCTCCATCCCTGCTCAGCGCCCGGGGCTGCCTCGGCCCGCGGAGCCCTGCTCCCATTCTGTCACTTGCCATCAGAGCACTGGACCAGCACTGTCACACTCTGCCCGTGGGTGCTGCAGGGTGCTGGGCACCCACTGCCCACCGCATGGGACACCCTGGTGCCACCCTAGAAGCGTGACCATGTTCACAGGGGTCCCAGGATGAGGGAAGGGATGTAGATCTGACTCCATGTTTCAGAAGGCTTGATTTATGATTTTATTATATACATTATATTAAAACTATACTAAAAGAATAGAAGAAAGGATTTTATCAGAAGGCTGGCTAAGAATAGAATAAAAAAGAATGATAACAAAGGCCTGTGGCTCAGGCTCTCTGTCCGAGCCAGCTGACTGTGATTGGCCATTAATTAGAAACAATCACATGAGCCCAATCCCAGATGCACCTGTTGCATTCCACAGCAGCAGATAATCAATGTTTGCATTTTGTTCCTGAGGCCTTTCAGCTTCTCAGGAGGAAAAATCCTAAGGAAAGGGTTTTCCATAAAAGCTGTCTGTGACAGGAGGGTGTAACAAATGGCACTGTGCCCATCCCGGGGGTGTGACAAACATCACTGTGCCCACCTCAGGGCTTTGGGGATGCTGGGGGTGCCTGGCTGTCGGTGCTGGCCGGACCCTGGCGGTGCTGCTGTCACTGCTCCTAGCCCAGCACACGCTGCACTGTCGCTGTCCCCGCTCCCTCCCTGTGCTGTCCCCGTGTCCCGGCCGTGCTCACGCTCTGCAGCCCCGCTCGCACTTTCTGCCCCATCACCTCGCGGCACCGCGGCGCTGCCGAGCCCCAGCCCGGAGCCGACAGGCGTCACAAAGATCAGGGCGGCCGAGTGACGGTGACAGTGACAGGCGGCCCGTGAAGTGTCACCGCAGGGCTGTTCCCTGCCCCACAGCCCCGGGGAGCACAGCCCAGCCCAGGGACCGAACCGCGCTGCTCTGTGCCACAGCATCCCTAAGGGACAAGAGGAGTGACCCCCCAGGTGACAGTGACCCCCCAGGTGACAGTGACCAGGGGCAGGGGATGGGACAGGGGACCCTGGCACAGCGACCAGGGTGATTGGCTCACGGGGATGGGACATGGGACCCTGGCACAGTGACATGGGGCAAGGGATAGGACAGGGGACCCTGGCACAGTGACCAGGGCTAGGGGATGGGTCAGGGGATCCTGGCACAGTGACCAGGGCTAGGGGATGGGTCAGGGGACCCTGGCACAGTGACGAGGGGAAGGGGATGGGTCAGGGGACCCTGGCACAGTGACCAGGGCCAGGGGATGGGTCAGGGGACCCTGGCACAGTGACCAGGGCAGAGCAGCCTGCTGAGCTCAGAGCCTCCAGCTGCAGCTGCTGTTGTTCTCCCTGTCCCGGACAATGGCCCAATGTCCCCTGGCCGGGGTGACAGGACAGGACCCCATTGTGTCCCCACAGCGTTTGCCCGCTCCCCTGGCTGCTCCAGGGAGAGCCATTTGGGTGGGCAGGGGCATCCAGCCCCTCCCAAAGCTGTTTGGGGGGATAAATCATTCCCTCTCTGCAGTGAGGAGGATGGCGCTCAGGGAAAGGCTGTGGGGCCATTCCTGGCACTCTGCCCCCTCTCAGCCCAGCTCCATCCAAGGGGTGGAATGGAGAATCACTCCCAGCACTGGCAGAGCCCCATTTCCCCAGTGGGAAGCTGGCTGTGGGATCACAGTGACTCCTGCTCGCTCTGCCGGGATCATCCAGGGCCAGGGCAGCCCCACAGGGCCGGGAGCCCCCAGGAGGGACCCCTTGGCCCCCAGCCCGTGGGAGCAGGGACAGCCAGTCCAGTCCTGTCCCCACAGCACTGTCCCCTCCTCCCCGGCCGCAGGGAGCGGGGCTGGGGGAGGACAGGGCAGCGCTGGCAGCGCCAGCCCTTGGCAGGAGCTGCCTGGCCCCAGGGTCCCAGCCCCGAGCCAGATCCGGCCAGCGGGGGCTCTGCTGCTTCCTCAGGACACGGCAGAGAGAGCTCGGCCCGGCAGGTGCCCACACTGCGGCCAGGGATGGGCAGGGATGGGGCAGCACAGGGACACTGGAACTGCTCGGGCAGCAGGTCCCCCCTCAGTGTCAGCCCTCAGGAACTCAGGCCACTGCGGTCACTACCATTTCCTTTTATTCCTTGCATTTGTACATACACGGTATAAAAGCTCCTGTTCCAGCCGCCTGCTCCCGCCACTGCTTGGCCCCACCGGGACCCCGGTGCCTTCCAGGAGCTCCTCCCACAGGGGACAGAGCCACACTTCCATCAGCGTCCCTGGAGCCGGCTGGGAGCACCCCTGTGACCCCTGGAGAGTCAAACATCTGGGATGGAACCATCCATCCATCCATCCATCCATCCATCCATCCAAGGGATGGGGAGCGAGCACCTGCCACGGCACTGGGAGGCTCTTGGTCTGCAGAAAAAAGCTTTTCTGTCCCCAGAAATCCCAGGAAGCTGGAGCTGCCCATAGTCCCAGGCCACCTCCTTGCTCCAGAGCCAAGTTCTTCCTCATGGGAAAATCTTCCCTCAGTTAAAACCAAAAGAGAGTAGAGAAAGGTAAGTACAAATCAGAAAACAGTAAAAACTGTACGGTGGAAAATATATATATATTACTAAAAGGGCTAAAACTCCAAAGGCTCGTCTTGTTGGATCCTAAATCGCTTTACACGGGCAGGGGGGGCAGGAGAAAGGAGCTAATATCCAAAGTCCAACAGAAAGAACCGAAATCGAGTCTGCTTCCCCTCCCAGAAGTGCTGGAGCTGCCTGGGGCTGTCAGGAACCCCGGGAGCAGAGCTCTGTCCTGCCACAGCACATGAGGGAACCAGGCTGGAGCCAAATCCTCCCCAGTGCCACCTCTTGGCGTGTCCAGCCCTGTGTCCAAGCAAGCTCAGTGAGAACCAGACCCTGGCCTCGGCCCTCCTCTATACCCGGATCTCATCGTCATCCTCGTCGGCGAATGAGAACTCCTTGTCGGGGCGTTTCGGGGCCGCTCCCCGCTGGCTCGGCGGCCTGGGCACAGGGCTGCGCTCCGAGGGGCAGCTGGACACTGGGCTGCTGTCCCTGGGGCTGCGGCCACCGGCGCCACGGGCCGGGCTCTGGCTCGGCGGGGCCGCCAGCGGGGAGCCAGGCGGGGCAGCCTCGCCTTCCTCCTCCTCCTCCTCCTGCTCCTCTTCCGCCTCGGCGTCTTCATCCTGCTCCCACTGATCCTTATCCATGATGCTCAGCACATCGCCGAGCATGGAGGGCCCCAGGTCGATGTGGAAGGACATGATGGACTCGGCGTGCTTCAAGCCCGCGCCGCCCTTGGCCAGCCCCACGGGCAGGTCCGTGATGTCCCCGAAGTCGCGCTCGTCCAGGCCGGGGCTCCGCGGCCCCGCGGCCGCTCCGTTGGGGCGCTGCTGCTCCTCGGGGCTCCCCTCCTCGGGCAGCTTCTTCACGGGGCTGGACGAGAGGCTCTTGGGCAGCTGCCCCGCGCTCCTGTCCACGTCCTTCTCGTTGAGCTGCGGCAGGGACACGGCGTTCTTGACGAAGAGCGCCGAGTCGCGCAGCGAGCCCAGCATGTCCCGCCGGTCGCCGCGCGTCACCGACTGCGAGCGCTTGCTGCTGCGGAAGCGCCGCGACAGCAGGCCCGGCTTGGAGGCTCCGGGCTCCTCTCCCGCCTCCGGCACCGGCTCCCCGGCCTTGCTGGTGAGGAAGGAGGTGTCCCCGAAGGCGTCCCCAGCGCGCCCCACGTGCATGGTGTGGCGGAAATCGCCCAGGGGAGCGCTGATCATCTC